CTGCACTCCAGTCTGGGTGACAGAGTGAGACTCCAACTCAAAAAAAAGAAAAGAAAAACAGACTGGACAATAAATGACAATTTTTTTTTTTTAGTTGTAGTCTCACTCCGTTGCCCAGATTGGAGTGCAGTGGCACGCTCCTGGCCTCCGCAGCCTCGACCTGCTGGGCTCCGGCGATCCTTCCGCCTCAGCCTTCCAAGTAGCTGGAACTACAGGCACACGCTACCTCACCCAGCTAATTTTTTGATTTATTGTAGAGATGAGGTCTTGCCAAGTTGCTCAGGTGGGTCTTGAACCTGCGGGCTCAGGCAATCCACTCACCTCAGCCTCCCAAGGCGCAGGATTACCAAGCCTGAGCCACCAAGCCTGACTTGTTTTTCTAAGATGATGTGGAAAGACGCACTCGTGATTCCTGAAAACCACTTCTCAACTGATCGATCATATCTCAGTATATATTCCCTTTCTTTTTTTTTAGTAGGAGTCTCACTCTGTTACCCAGGCTGGAATGCAATGACATGCTCACAGCCACTGCAGCCTCGACCTACCGGGTTTGAAAGGTGATCCTTCCGCCTCAGCCTTCCAAGTAACTGGTACCACAGGCATACGCCACCACGCCTAGCTAATTTTTTGATTTATTGTAGAGACAAGGTCTCACCAAGTTGCCCAGACTGGTCTCGAACTCCTGAACTCAGGCAGTCCTCTCACCTCTACTTCTCAAAGTGCTGGGATTACAGGTGGGAGCCACCACGCCCAGTCTGTACTCCGTTTCTTTATTTGCTTTTTCATGCAATTTGAATGGGAAACTTCAAGGAAATATACATTTTTGAAAAATTTGCACTGGCATAAGTTTGTCCTGTGTAATCACCGGCAATCTCTTTATGTCCCTGAAAGGGACATCAGAGTGTAAAGAGTTTTGCACAATGGTTGGTTATGAGATAGCTTTGCTTCCAAGGCTGCCACTAGACTGTAAGAAGTGAGACTGAATTTGTTAAGTTTGGTTGAGGTGTGTGAGGCTCCGTAACCAGCTCATTCCAAGGACATCCTGCTGGGTGCGGTGCTGCAGTTGGGCTTGGTGCTGCACTGGGGAGAGGGAGAGCCCCTGCCCTTCTGTGAGGAAGACTTGAAAACATGCAGTGTAGGCCATTGCTTTGTAAAACGTTGATGTGTCCACATGGCTCTTTGAGCTATGGCCACCATGTTTTCTTAGCTTTGGTGCCTACCTTGGGAAGGTGAGTCAATTTCTGTTTCTCTTATTTACTTTCTAAATATACTTTGCTTGAAAACTTTGCTGGCTGCTCTAAAATTCATTTTAGAAATGAGCCAGCTGGGCGCGGTGGCTCATGCCTGTCAAAACAAAAACAAAAAACAGTGTAATACCAACTGTATGAGGCAGATATAGAGTGCCATTAATACCACCAACTAAGGGGGTAGGGATGGCCAGTCTCTGACTCACTGCTGTGACCCCAGACTCGTGGTCTTGACCAGTGAGAGGACAGAGCTTGAGTAGCTGCCGGTCCCTGTGGCTGTTCTTGCTCACTGATGCCTTGGGCTGCAGGAATACTGCACAGATGCTGTTTGGAGATCAGACAACTGTGAGGATAGGTAGCTTCCTCCAGTTTCTCATTTTCAGTGGAGTATGCCTTTTTTATTTATTTATTTATTTTTAAGAGATGGTGACTCACTGTGTTGCCCAATCTGGGCTCCTTGGCCTCTTGAGTAGCCTGGGCCATAGGCCTTGCCCCTACACCCAGCTTATAACAAACTTTTTTTTTTTTCTTTTTGAGTCAAAGTCTCACTCTGTCGTCCAGGCTAGAGTGCAGTGGCATGCTTACAGTTGCCGTAGCTTTGACCTGCTGGGCTCAGGCGATCCTTCCGCCTCAGTCTTCCAAGTAGCTGGAACCAAAGGCATACGCCACCATGCCTGGCTAATTTTTTGATTTATTGTAGAGATGAGGTCTCACCAAGTTGCCCAGGCTGGTCGTGACTGGGCTCAGGCAGTCCACTCATCTCTACCTCCCAAGGTACTGGGATTACAGGCATGAGCCACCACACCTGGCCAGAACAAACTTTTAATAATTTCTTCCAGTAGTTCTACTTCTGGATGTTAACTAGAGAGTGTTGTTAGACCAAAAAGTGAATCGTTTTCAAAACTCTCTACTTCTAAGTAACTTTTAATGGATTGGTTGGTTTGTATATTTGCATTATTTCTTTTTTTTTTTATTTTTTTTATTTGAGTTGGAGTCTCACTCTGTCACCCAGACTGGAGTGTAGCGTCTGCTCCCAGCCACCGCAGCCTCGACCTGCTGTGATCCTTCTGCCTCAGCCTTCCAAGTAGCTGAAACTACAGGCGCGCGCTACCACGCCCGGCTAATTTTTTGATTTATTGTAGAGATGAGGTCTCGCCAAGTTGCCCAGGTGGGTCTCGAACCCATGGGCTCAGGCAATCCACTCACCTCAGCCTCCCAAAGGCGCGGGATTACATATTTGCATTATTTCTGACCTTTTAGTTTTTATAAAATGATGGATTTTAAGTGATTTGCTCTAATGTGTGCTTAATTATAATAATTTCCATTAATAGCAAGAAAGGTGTTTTAACTGTAGGTTTCAGTGTCAACTCTGTATACTGTGTGTCTTTAAACAGGTTGTCCTTTTAAAAGTGTGTGTTTAAAGGATGTCTGTTTTTACTTTTTTATGTATGTAATTATATAAATAACTTAAGCGTGGGTGGTATGACTTGCTACCTCTGAGCCTGTGGTCACCTTGGGTTGAATGAACCCTTTCCCCATTTTGCTGAGTTGCCAGGCGATGTGCCTTATTTTGAAGCCTCTTAGATTGAAGTGTCAGGTGACCCGAGCCCAGCATTGCTCCTGCCAGCCCTTGTGTTGGTGGCAGGAGCTTGCTGTGGGCCACGGGCTCTCAGTGTCCTGTGCGGGCATCCTTTCCCACCTCGTGTAATCTCCCCAGAAGCACAAGGAACTGTGTGCTTTCTATGAGTTTTGAGGTTGGAAGCCCAGAAAATGACCACTTTGTCATTAAATCCAGATTAGTAAAAATAGAAATGAAACCTCCTAGGGTGACCCTGCTTTCACATAAGTACACTACTTAAATGTGTAACATCCTGGCAGAATTCTTTCCTACAACACATACGGCCATGGGAACAGGGGTTCTGGCCTTGGGTGTGTGAGATCCTGGGTTATGGGTGCTGCCCTGCAGACCCATGGAGGCTCCCGGGGTGTAGAACTGTGGTGAGGCCCTGGAACCTGTATGTGTGGAGGGCACCGGGGTTCCATGAGGCATCAGGGGCTTCCCAGGAGAAGTTCATTGGCAGGATAAGCCACCATACCTGGAGACCCTGAGGCTGGCCCGGGTTTCTGCTTAGCTCCCAGGAGGGCTCCGGGAGAGTGCTCACATGTGCCTCCCATCCACTGCCTCGTCCCATATGTGCATATTCTTGGATTTCGAGTCAGTGCTCTCAAAAGCCCATGCACCTGCCCATGCTGTCCGTAGGCTCTTGCTTTCTGTTAATGCATGTACTGTCCTTGGGGAGAAGGGGTACACTGGGCGTCTCCTGCTGCCGGATTGCTAAAAATGGAGCCACTTGACACCAGCTGAGCGGGGCAGACCCAGACCTGGGGTGGAGTGGCGGGTGGCCTGCTTGAGCGGAGCGTGGCCTGTGGGGTGAGGAGGGCCTGCCGCCCCTGCGGTCAGTGAGGAACCAGGTGGAGGTCAGGCAGGCTTGCCGTCTGTTTTGCTAAACGCTGTGATCTGTGTTCTTTCCTGCAGAACTGCGGGTACTGATGGATGTGGCTGAGAGCCCTGGACAGGACCCTCACTCTCCAGAGGATGAAGAGCAGCCCCAGGGCCTCTCAGACGATGACATTCTGAGGGACAGTGGGTCTGAACAGGATCTGGATGCAGCTGGCCGGAGGGCTTCTGACCTGGAGGATGAGGAGCATGCAGCCGGGGCGCCAGACCGGGAGGAGGAGGAGGACCACTCTGAAGAGGAGGACTGCGTGAGCGAACCCAAGTCTCAGGCCTCGGAGGCCAATGAGTTGAGCAGGGGCCCAACCAGCCCCCCATGCGAGGAGGGGCGTGACGGGGAGGAAGACCGCACAAGTGACCTCAGAGACGAGGCCTCCTCGGTCACCCGGGAGCTGGACGAGCACGAGTTAGACTACGATGAGGAGGTCCTAGAGGAGCCAGCCCCCGCCACACAGGAGGATGAGGCTGAGAAGGCTGGGGCTGAGGACGACGATGACAAGGGCGAGGGTGGCCCTCAGGAGGAGGAGAAGGCTGGTGCACAGAGCATGGGAGAGAAGGAGCCCCTGGAGGCTGCTAAGGAGAAGAAGAAGGAGGACGACGATGGAGAAATTGACGACGGGGAGATAGACGTGAGTATGACAGCACGTGGGGTGCCTGGGCATGCAGGGAGGGGCAGGGTGTCTGGAGGATGCGTGTTGGTGCAGGAGATGGGCAAGATAGGCATGCAGGCAGAGGGTGGTACCCCTGGGTGGTGGGAAAGGAGGTGCTGGCAGCCAAGGGGGAGGCGGCTGGCTCCGGGGCTTTCCTCTGTCTGGCTCTGGTGCAGGCTTCCCACAGGCCAGTTGTGTGCGGCCGCCCCACGGTGTTGGGTGGGTGGCATGAGTGTGCCTCATCTGCTGCTGTTAGGTTTTGGACTTCGGGTTTTGTTTTCCGGGTGAATAGGCCATTTCTTCCTGTCTCCACCATCTCTGAGTGGCCTTGGGGAGCCGCTGCAGCAGCCAGTGTGGGTTTTCAGCCCCACCGGGTTCTGGAGATGGAAGGACAAAAGATGTTCCTGCTAGCTGCATCTTTCTTCAGGGAACTTTTGTCCCTGCCTGTGGCTTGTCCTCTGGAGACAACACTAGCTGGGCCAGGCCTCTTGGATGTGACCCTGAAAGACCCCGGTGAACACCAGAGAAGTGGGCTGTGGGTCCCAGCGCCTCAGCTTCTAGAAAGCCTGCATGCTTGATTGTAACTACATTCATCTGCCTTCTGGTTGACAGTAGTGCTAGTAATACAAGATCCTACAGGTGGCTAGGTTGATTTTTTGTTTTTGTTTTTGAGTTGGAGTCTCACTCCATCACCCAGAATGGAGTGCAGTGGCATGCTCACCAACCACCCAGTGTCGACTTGCTGGGTTCCGGCAATACTTCCACCTCAGTCTTGCAAGTAACTGGAAATACCGGCACACACTACGACACCCGGCTAGTTTTTTGATTTATTGTATAGACAAGGTCTCGCCAATTTTCCCAGGCTGGTCTCGAACCCGTGAACTCAGGCAATCTACTTGCCTCAGCCTCCCAAAGCTCTGGGATTACAGGCTGAGCCACCGAGCCCAGCTTCGGTTGAATTTTTATGGCAGATAATCTTGTTAAGAGAACTTTAGTTTTTATTTTTTTGGGTTGGAGTCTCACTCTGTTGCCCAGGCTGGAGTGCAGTGGCACACTCACGGTCACCCCAGTCTTGACCTGCTGGGTTCCAGGTGATCCTTCCGCCTCAGCCTTCCAACTAGCTGGAACTACAGGCGTTCGTTACCATGCCTGGCTAATTTTTGTTTTGTTATAGAGATGAGTTCTCTCCAAGTTGCCCGGGCTGGTCTTGAACCAGTGGGCTCAGACGATCCACTCGCCTTAGCCTCCCAAAGTGCTGGGATTACAGGCTGAGCGACCGAATCTGGCTCATATTTTATTTTTAGAAGTAAGATCTTGCTCTGTGGCCCAGGCTGGAGTTCAGTGGTGCAGTCATGGCTCACTGCAGCCTCAAATTCCTGGGCTCGGGTGATCGTCCTGTCTCTGCCTCCCAAGTGGTTGGGACTACAGGTGTGTACTACCACACCTGACTAGTTTTTTAATTTTATTTTAGACACAGGGTCTCATTGTGTTGCCCAGGCTGATTTCAGATTCCTAGCTTCAAGTGATTCACCTTGGCCTCCAAAAGTATATAGATTACAGGCATGAGCCACCACACCCAGCCTGAAAGATCTGTAATTATGAGTTTTTTGAGGGACACTACCTTGAAGTTTTACTAAGCAACACTTTTCAGAACTCCAAGGAGCTGAGCGAGGGACAGAGCAGATTGAACTGACTTGGGGTTTTTGAAGGGCCCAGGAAAGAAGTTGTGCTTACCTGGGAGTCCTTGAAGTGGCAGGTGTATGGAGTGTCTTGGAGGCGTTTTGGGTTGGGGCACAGATGCTGGTGAGAACCCCACAGGTTCTTCTGAAGCCTGTGCTTCGCAGCATGCTGGTTTCCATACGTTGGTCCATGTCCAGTGTGACCCGCTTTGTCAACCCTGGCTGGCGGGCTGAGGGCTGCTCATGTGACCCTGGGTGAGTGTGGTCGCCAGCTCTGAACATCAGGCCTTGGGTCTAACAGCTGAGTGTGGGCTGGTTCAGGATGATGGTGCTGCCCGACATGCTGCTGAGAGGGCATCCCGGAACTCCATACGGGGCTGATGTCTGCCCTGTACCTTCCTCCACTTCTGGAAATCTCATCTCCTCTCTGGTGGCAGAGAAACAGGTGTGTGGGGCAAACTCCTCGATTGGGAGAAGCCTGTGCAGTGTGGTGGCTGCAGCTTCAGCGTCTCTGTGTTCTGGCATGGCGGTCCACCATGGGTGTGTGGGCTCATGCCAGGTTCTCGCACTCTACTTGCCCCTGAAGGGACTCCTTGAAGATCCCTGAATCCTGGGGAACACCCAGCAGTTTCCACAGAGGTCCTGACCAGCCGGCCCTGGAGCACCTGAGTGCTTCCCTGGAAAGACGTGGACTGGCAGTCGCTGAGACTTCGTGGCCACTCCCATTCCACTGTGTGTTCTTATTCCACTGCCTGTGCAGCGCCCTCTGCGGGGACTTGCCGCCCAGCTGGAAGCCTTGCGCTGCGGAAGAGAGCCTAGCCTAGCTCCCTCAGCAGCAGGTTGCTTCTCCCATGCTGCGACCTGGGCTTTTGATCCTCATGGCCCCAAGAGGTCCATTCTTCTAGACGCAGCATGGGTGTGCCCAGCTGTGTCACTGGCTGGGTTGTGATTGGACAGAGTAGAGCCCATCCCTGCCATGGGGACAAAGCCCTTGGCCAGGCGAGCAGGCACTGTGAACGCGGACCCCGCCCCTGAGAGCTCTTGGCTCAGCCTGCACCCGCCTCGTGAGCTTCTCCAACTTCCTCGAGCTGCTCCCTGCCTGACTGTGCTGGGTACCTTTCCTGACTGACATGGTGGCTCAAGTATCCCCTCTGTGTAGGTTGTGCCTCCTGCCATTGACTGGCTTGCGCGTGCGCACACGCATGTGTGTGTACGCATATGTATTGCTTTCCCTACCCCTGCTCCCAAGAACACACGTTTGCTGTGCCCAGGACCTATCTGACAGCTTCACCTGTGTCTCCTGGGCTTGGCCCACACAGGCAACCCCCTGTAATCGTGAGCAGGAGGTGAACCACACCCAGGGGTGTACTTGGGGTACCTGAAGGTGTGAGCCTTGATGATGCGAAGTGGCTGTGGGTAGAAGGGCAGTCAAGTGATTGGTGTTAGACCCTCTCTACCGACAGAGGGACTCAGCGCAGACGCTTGTCCGCTAGTGCCCAGAGAGCTCTAACTCAGGTCAGTTCCACGCCTACCATCCCCGATGAGCTCAGCCAGTCTCTAACCCACACTCTGTGTCTTCCCCTTGGAGGCCCAACCTCTGGCAGTGAATCCATGATGGAGAGGGAGTCCATATGGATCCCTGAGCAGCCCTGGGCAGGTCCCCTTTCCTGCTCATCCCTGGAAAGTGTCCCTTCCAGAAACCTCCTCCCTGCTCTGCAGCAGAGTCCTAATGTCAGAGGTCACCTCCTGGATGCCCCCCCAAGAAGTGTGCTGTTCTCTGCCCTTGAAGACGGGTATTGTGAGGCCCCTGGAGCTTTGGGTCCCGGTAGGGTCTCACTGGCCTGGTCCAGTGGAAGGCTCTACGCAGAGGCTCTGCCTGGCCTGCTGGGAGCAGCTGGTGGGGGCTCAAGAGCCCCTGCACTATTGTCCTGACCCTGCGAGTCTCTGCTCAGCACATCACATCCCACTTTAGACTTCAGGTAGTTGGGGCAGGTGAACTAATCATGGGATGCAGTGGCCATGACTGTCCAGTTGGCCCTGGAATTCTTTGGTCCAAAGCATGCAGGGTGCGCCCCAGGCCTTGGATTACCTGTGTGTATTTCTGGTGTGCTGCCTGGACACCCTCAGTCACAGGTGCTTCCTGAGGCCTTGGCTACAGTGCAGAGGGAAGGTTGTACACAGGCTGGGGCAGCTGCCTGTAGCACCAGGCTCGCCTGTTCAGGAGGCCCTGTAGGAGAGAACCGGGTGCAGTGGGTTTGGTCCTGCCTCCACTGCCTCAGGTGCATGCGTGACCCCTCTGTCTTGCATGGGGGGCCTGTTCTTTCTGTGTCCTGTGCTTCTGCGTGTCCTCCCGGTACTGCCCTTCCTCTTGGAGGTGAGGGCAGCACCAGCCCTCCTCACAGGCCTTCAATTTCCCCTCCGGGCCCGGGTCCTGGCTCGGTCTGCCTGCCCTCGCCTCTGCCCACTCCTTGGTCTGCATCCATGTCGGCCATTATCTGCATGTGCAGGTGACAGACCCAGGTCTCTTTGGAAGGAGCAGATACATGTCTTCCTCCCTCCTTCTAGGTGAGGGCTCCTGCACATGCAGGTGACCCCTCAGAGAGGCAGCAGCATGGCACCATGTCCCAAGTGAACGGTCATGCGGCTCCTCGGTCATGACCCTCAGCCCACTGCATGCAGAGGCCTTCATCATGCCCTCTCTGCATGTGGTGTTGCGTTTCTCTGCTGGACCTGCTATTCCTCTCACCTGGCTAATTTTTTGATTTATTGTAGAGATTTTTTTGATTTATTGTAGAGATGAGGTCTCGCACCCTCCTGGCTCAGGCTCCAACTCGTGCACCCTTCCTGCCCTCGTGGGTACTGATTGTGGCCTGCTCAGCAAGCAGCTGCCTACACTGCCTGGGGAAGGGTCCTGCGACATCAGCAGGGTCTTGGGCTGGGCTTGGCTGGGTTTCGGCACAGCTGCAGGAAAGCCTGGGCGCCACGGCCACGGCTCACCTGGGAGGCCCCAAGACATCTGAGAACCAAAAGATTTTAATTGCAGGGGCAGGCCTGGCCCATGCTGCCTTGCAGTTGTTTATGGTCTTGTGTTTTCCCGCTTGCTGGAGGGTCCCACACCTCCGCAGAGGGATCACCATGTCCGTCAAGGGTCCTGTTTCAGACCTGCCCTGTTGTCTCTCTAGGCCCTAGGACTTTTATGTAAGGGACTGTAGCCCCATGCTTTCACCCCATCTTGCAGGTGAGATGTCCAGGACCGACCTGGGAGGTGGTTGTACAGGGTGGGAGCACTAGACCATACCCGAGCCCCCCTACCTGACACTCTGCACAGCTCCACCACGCTGCGCCTCTGCCTCATCTTCTTGTTGCAGGGCTTCCCCTCAGGAGCTTCTTTCTTGTTACATGAGTAATACACATTCATTGATTTTTTTTTTTTTTTTTTTTGAGTTAGAGTCTCACTCTGTCACCCAGGCTGGAGTTTAGTGGCACACCCATGGCTCCTGCAGCCTTGACCCGCTGGGCTCAGGCAATCCTTCCACCTCAGCCTTCCAAGTAGCTGGAACCACAGGCTCGCACTAGCATGCCCAGCTAATTTTTAATTTATTGTAGAGACGAGTGTTGCCCAGGCTGTTCTTGAACCCCTGGACTCAGGGAATCCTCTCACTTCCGCCTCCCAGAGTGCTGCTAGGATTACAGGTGTGAGTTACTGCACCTGCTTTGTTCAATGGTTTTTGTAAAAAAAGAAAGGGAAGCCTGTACTCAGAAGCAAGTGAAGCCACCTCTGTCACTGCCGGGGGTCACCACGTTGGCGCATCGTGTGAGGTGTGGGCCATGCATATCATCGTAATACCAGTGGTCACTGCAGGACTTGCTGCTTGTGGTGGAGTCAAGGCCTGGTGCCGGACACCCAGGGGTGCTGCAGCCCTTTTCTGTAGAGGAGCGCAGCCCTCATCGGTTGGGTGGCGTGTTCACGCCCACCCCACCACCACAGCCCGGACCCAGGATAAGAACTAAAGGCTCTTAACGTTGAAGGAGATGGTGCCCTCTACCTGGTGACCTTTGTCCATGTGCATGTCTTCCCTGAGCTGGGAGGCACCCCTGTGGGCCACAGTGCCACGCCTTCTTTGAACTGATGCCCCAGAGGCCTCATATACCCCCTCCCCTGCAGGCTGGCAGGGCTCCATGCAGTGTCACTGGGCCTGCCCCATGTGGTGTGTGCTAAGCCTCATGGGTACCTCCTAGCCATAGACCCATCAGGTTCCTGCTGCTGTCTCCCAGGCCTGTCTGTGTCCTCTACTGCGTGCTGTGTGGCCCAGTGTGGGGGAGACCTGGAGGCTACACCTCGCGTGCTCCCTGCAGCAGCCCTGAGAGAGTGGAGCCCTGGGGCTGGCTTCAGAGCCCCTTTCCAGGTTCCCACATGAAGCTCTGAGGCTCAAGAACTTGTTCAGTTGCCCATTGCTAAAGGCCTGCGCTCAGTGAATGGTCAGATCATGCTGTTGTGTTGCCGAGAGATGGGTTGTTTTCATCTGTGCTTTAACTAAGAGAGGCCATAGATGCAGCACACCATGCTGCCCGGCTCTTGCAGTTGTGGGCGGGACTGTGGCAGCGTCAGGTCCCGTGTGCGTCACCTTGCACCTGTCTGCCTGCCGGTCAGTTGCCCAGTGTGTGTGCTGCTCACGTGTGCACATGCCCGCTCCCTCACTCCAGGTGCTAGTTTCTCCTTTTCTGCTGCTATGAATATTGATGACATTGTCTCTGCAGAAGCACACACTATTTCTGTCTAGTCTACTATCCTTTGGGAGTCCTGATTCCTGAAAAACCACAGTCCTGTCCTTGTTTTGACCTCTGTGCACTCAGTTCTAAATGAGGCAGTAAGATGTAAGTGGATCTGAACTTTTCAGATGAATTTTGGTTTGTTTTTTCTTTTCCTTTTTTTTCCAGAGACAGGATCTTGCTCTGTCACCCAGATTGGAGTGCAGTGGTACAATCATAGCTCACCACAGCCTTGCACTCTTGGACTCAAGCAGTCCTCCTGCCTGGCCTCCTGAGTAGCTGGGACTACAGGGTGTCCACCACCAGCCCTGCAAATTTTTTGTTGTGGTTGTTGTTGAAGGGTGTGTTCTCAACTTAGATCTGAGCTTATGTAGAGCTCTATGTTAAGGTTTGTTTTGTTTTGTTTTGTTTTTGAGTCGGAGTCTCACTCTGTTGCCCAGGCTGGAGTGCAGTGGCACGCTCACAGCCACTGCAGCCTTGACTTGCTGGGCTCAGGCGATCCTTCCACCTCAGCCTTGCAAAGTAGTTGGAACTATAGGCACGTACCACCATGCCTGGCTAATTTTGTGACTTATTGTAAAGATGAGGTCTTCAAGTTGCCCAAGCTGGTCTTGAACCCGTGAGCTCAGACAGTCCTCTCACCTCAGCCTCCTAAAGTGCTGGGATTATAGGCATGAGCCACCACACCCAGCCCATGTTAAAGTTTTAGTGTAGTATTCGTTACTGTGAGACTAGCGGTAAAAAACAATACTAACGGAAGGCCAGAGGAGACAGGCGTCCTGTGGCTTAGTATGGAGTGAGGTGTGTCTTCTCTGATCATTTCTCCAGAAAAATGATTCCATTGGCTCTTTTGAGGGATCTCACTCAGGAATCTTTCTTTTCTTTATAAAATACTTTTTAGTAGCCAAATATTTCAAGGCAGAAATCTTACAAATACATAACCCTTAAAAGTTAAAGTCATGGCCGGGCTCGGTGGCTCAGCCTGTAATCCCGTGCCTTGGGAGGCTGAGGTGAGTGAATTGCCTTAGCCCTCGGGTTCAAGACCCGCCTGGGCAACTTGGCGAGACCTCATCTCTACAGTAAATCAAAAAATTAGCCGGGCGTGTGCCTGTAGTTCCAGCTACTTGGAAGTCTGAGGCGGAAGGATCGCCGGAGCCCAGCAGGTGGAGGCTGTGGTGGCTGGAGGCGGCCACTGCACTCCAGTCTGGGCGACAGAGTGAGACTCCAACTCAAAAAAAAAAAAAAGTTAAAGTCATTATAAACTCAGGGTTGGGTTCAGCATTTGTTCATTCAGCAAATGATTATGAAGTGTTTACCATGAGCTGGACGCGGCCTGGGCCCAGCTACTTGGTGGTGGTGAGTAGACAGACACGTCGCACCCTGGCAGGCTTGTGGTTCAGCAGGGCAGGCGGTGGCATGGCCAACACAAGGGTGTCCAGGTGCAACCCAGTACATGGGGGGGGGTGCAAGGATTGTCACAACGGGAGCCAGGGAGGCCATCCAGGGAAGGGGCCTTGAGCCTCAACCTGAGACTGAGATGCGTTGGTCATGGGGAGGTCAGCTCAGACGTGGGCTGGAGAAGGCACCTTGTCCTGCAGAGCACAGCTGGGAGCTCAGGGGCAGCAAGGAGGCCAGTTGAGAGTGGGGCCGGCCAGGAGTGAGCGGGTGGTGGCCAGGACAAGGGCATGCTGTGGACGCAAGGATGGGCCCATGGGACTAGGAGATTAGTCAGGGATGGGGTGACAAGTCCTTCTGCCCCAGACAGGCTGACTCTGACACAGTTACATGGTGGGAACGTCAGCAGGGCAGCTGGTTGCCCATGGGTTGAGGGTGGTCAATCAAGGAGTTTCTCCTGCAGGCCAGTGGGCATAGCCCTGAGGCGTTGGCTTGCCAGCAGGCACTGAGCCATGGTTAGGCCTCAGCTGTTCATCAGAGGCTCCATGGGTGAGGCCTAGGCCTCGGTCCTTGTGAAGTTCCTGGGCTCTTCTGAAGTGTGCTGGCCACAGCGTGGGAGCTCTGGGCTCACAAGGAGCCTCGGGGGCCCACACTCCTGGCCAGGTGACATAGGCGACCCAAGTGACCTGACTTCCCACCCAAGGTTTTCATTAGAGGAAGGTCGTGTTTAACTTTAGGATCGTGAAGTACTGTGCTCTACAGATTTTTTTCAAATGTACAAAATATCAAAACCTGCAGTGTAGCCATTTCCGCCCACAGTTGTTAATTAAGAGAAACATAAGGAAACCCAGTTTTGTTAAGGAGCCCCATGTGGGCCCAGAGTGCTTTCAGGGATGTTCTTCCTGTGATGCCTGAGCTAGCAGGTGCTCTGCACACCCTGTCAGGCAGATTGGAATCTGAGATTGGGAGAATCTACATGAGCTGGCAAGTGGCGGAGATGCGGTCCTGTGACAGCATCTGAGTGCCCCCAGCCGGCTCTGTGCCCTTTTCAGTGTGGTGGGAGCTGTGCCGGTTGGCAGGTCCCCTCCCCTCTGCTAAGACGGCCATTCTATTTCAGGATGATGACCTGGAAGAAGGCGAGGTGAAGGACCCCAGCGACCGGAAGGTGAGGCCCCGGCCCACCTGCCGATTCTTCATGAAAGGTAACTTGTAAGGGGCCTACGGACAGCCTCTTCGTGGCCTCGCTCTCCTGGGCTTGGTGGTGGCTCACCTTGACGGGGCCCAAGTCTGTTCTCAGGGCAGACTGGGC